ATTAACACATCCAAGACAGCTGAGCCTGGTGCAGTTTACTGAGCAGATGGAAGGTGGGTAACCTTATATGCAGTCTAATGGGATTCTCATGTTCCCGTACAAAATGCACACAGGGAAGTGCTCCATGCACGGGGCTTTACCACAAGCGCACTCACAACCCAGCTCAGCAGTAAGTGGGATGCTACTGTGCAAACCTACCACTGGAGGGTAATAAAGCTAGCTGGGAACAGACAGAAGCAGTGAAGGATACAGGGAAAAAACGGGCCACACAGATAAATCACACCTTGGTCCACAAATGCAACTCCTCCAAGCGTGCAATATGCCAGGGTGAACACACGGACACCCTGCGGGTAATACAAGAATACGTACCAACGCATGGTAGTACTAGCACATAAGAGCTACCCAGCCACAGGACCACATCCTTCCAGCACAGGTATATTTCTGCTATCTTACATTGAGCCAGCATGCAAAGTGCAGGCTGACCCTTGTGCTCTGGCCCCACCTGTGACAGGAGACTGGGGCTTTTCCAGAGAGCTGGCTCAGCCCACAAAGACCTGGTATTGCACTGTCTGACTCTGATGCACAAGGTGTACATCTCTGATGTACAAGGTCTGTCCTTGTGTACTCTCCCAGATGACACAAGCATGCTGTTCATGGTTGTGAGGGCTGAGAAGATGAGATTTATGAATGTCTAAGGTATGTCAAGTAGTAAAACACGCCTCTCCGTGGGGACTGCTTTATGACAGTTGGTACTATTATGGCTAGCATCCTCTCTGGCACCCTACAGTAGCAAAAGTTCAGAGTATCTACTAGGGAGGGCTGAGATGTATACAGTTGTCATGAAGAAGCTCCATATTGACACCTGAGAAGAGGCAAATTTGTGTTTCACACCATGCTACTGCACAGAAGCTCTCAGTAAATGCTGTTAACTCAGCCCCCTTCTTCACAATCTTGTTGGCAAAAAATCTACATTTCAACTGTGCATGTCTGTATAAGCTGACCATCACAACAGGACACTGGGCATACATGTCTCTAAACAAAGTACTTATCCTGAAAGAGGCAAGTATACTTTATTCCAGGGAGAATCTTCATGAGATCCTTCAACATCATCCTGTAGAAAATGAGTCATGTCTGAACACATCAAAACACAAAGCCCTGTGAACCAATACCCATTTATCCAGAACTAGGTATCTATTCAGGCTATGATATCATCTTCTTGTCCTATCTGTGTAGCACAAGCAATACTGCCATCAGAAAAGTGAAATGGGGTCTGCAACACAATGTGGAGATAGGCAAGTTGCTCCCTGTGCAACAGGGCTCTAATTAATTGTTCAGAGCAGTCTGCTAACAGCAGCACATAACCTATTTCTTAAGCACACAGTTATGGTAAAATCTTCCAGAATCAAAGTATTACACATCCCTGTCTACCCAAAATTGATCCCCAAAACCACAAAAAAAAAAAAAAAAAAAAAAAGGCTCTCCGGTCCAACTGAAAGCATTCACAGAAAACTCTCAGTAGTTGCTAGCACAAGTCTAACATCTGCTTATTCTCACTGTTGCATGGCACAGGGGGAAGCTGGAATGCTCCCGAAACCTAGTGCTACCTCTAGTGAAAAGGCTATGGGAAACAGCAATGTGGTACTAAAGACCAAGCATCAAAAAACCACATGAAAACCTGGGCTGCACAGGACAGAAATGGTTCCACAATTGACTGCTATTACACATTCCGCCCAGCACCTTCCCCTAATAAGCTTAACAGCATCAGGTAAAAGACAACGTTGCTCTAGGTATTGTGCTGGAGACAATGGACAATGGTCCTGCAGGACAGCAGCACTACTAGTCTCTAGATCGGATGGCAGAAGGGACTATTATGACCATGCAGCTTTTCTTTCTGTGCAACAAAAAAGCTGTATAACTTTTCTGAATGAATTATTGTTTGCCTGATGGGCAGGCACATTACCTTGAATGAGAAATGTCCAGTGATAGAAGATCCAATAGAGTCTTTGGGTAAATTGCTTTAGTGATTAATTTGTCTCACCATTAAAATTGTACAGAGTTTTTCTTGGTTTGTATTTGTCCAGTTTCAATGCCAAACAATTTGCTGCTCTTACACATTGCCTGCTAGAGCCCTTTTGTTCCCCATATAACTATTACACTTGGTGAACAAGTTACCCGTTAGTTTTCATCTTGTGAAATAAGGTAGAGTGAGGTCTGTGGTTCCTTACTTAACGCTGTCCAAACTCTCACCAATTTATCAGTTGTTCTTCCTGAAAGGTGGATATCAGAAACCTGAATTTCTGGCTAAAGTACGTTCACTGTTTTGTAAGAAAATCACAGGTGCCTGCCAACCAAAATGTACCTCAGATATCCTTAGCACTATTAGGATTGATATGTTAAGTCTAACAACTACCAGAAATGCCAACAACTCACTGAAGTATGAACCCAGCTTAGTTCTGCACCAGAAACTGCTGCCTCAAATGGGAACATACAAAACTTATTTTCAAAGCTTTCAACAGGGCTTCTCCTTAGTGAGCCAGAACCTATGACTTCAGAGCTTTTTTTTTTTTTTTTTTTTTTTTTTAAAATATCCATATCTTCCCCTGGAGAACACTTCAGCAATGAGTAATCAGACTGCATGTAGGATTTCTGCCAGCCTGTGCAAACTCATTATTTCTGCAGCAACAGCGACAGACGAGCTGTGATCTCCGAGCTTGGGGCATTAGCAGCTTTGGAACTAATCTGCTCTCCTCTAATGCCTGTGCTCAGTCTACCGTTGTACAGCAAATTCGCAGCAGAATGGGGAAAAGGGGAAGGTCTTAAAGGTCTTACAAGCACAGTGGTATGACAGGGGATCCAGCAAAAATGTCCTCTCTATCACAGAGAACAAAATGGAAGGTTACATTAAAATGACGCAGAATAACCCTGCTTATACAGATAAACAGGCATCCACATAAGCAGTAGCCAAAATAAATCAGGACTATGGTCTAGGCAACTCTCAGAGAGAACACAGCAAAGGTGGTTTTATCCTTTTTACCTGCTGTGATGACAGGTCTACCAACATCTTCCTCTCCAAGTTTGATGGCTCTATCACATGCGCGTGCTTGAGGGCACTTGTTCATGCAAACACACACTGAGCACATCTACCTGCACCCAGTAACAAACTAATTTAATTAATTGCCACCCAATACTATCCACAGGTTACAGAGATTCCCCAGGGCCTAGACCAGACATTATCGAACTTCCATTACCACAAACCGATCGCTCCAGGCATATACCTGCAAACGGCCTTTCTGGCACACAACACAGCCCTTTCAAAACCAGAGAGGATGGTAACTGAACTGGTGGGCTAAAAACAAGGTCTTGGCATTCCCACTGAATTCCTAGTATGGTCACCTCAAGCCAGAAAATGGATCCGAAAAGAAAGCCCACCATGCAGTACGTCATGAGCTTTGAAGAAGAGGACAAATTCCATTGTACTTCGTAAGGATACGGTCACATGCTTCGTTGCTTGTTGCTGACAGAGTCAAAGTGCTAGCGTACGTCACAGTAAAATAAATTCTTCCAAGGGCACTTCACTACCTTAACAGTAAAAGAGTTACACCATTAAGGTTTAGAGGTAAACCAGGAATTTAGAAGTCTCCAGACAGTGTTGTCATAGCTGCATGTAGGACTGTGGGAAATAACTTTACCCTGAACAACAGGCTCTACTTTGCTTAAAAAAAAATGTTTGTTGAAAGTACTTTGATTTGCTGAAGTCTACTGCATTTATTCGTGAATGTAGCATTACACTATTTTCAGTGTTTTGAACCACCATATCTTACAGGCTACGGCTTTCCTACTTAACAGCCTCCACTTCCTCTAGAAGGTAGACCTGGGAGAAGGGCTGAGCAGACTTCAGGAGCAGCTGTGCAACCTCCACATCACAACGGACAGTGTCTGCATCCAGCTGAAGAGGGACACAATATACTTTCAGCTTACAGAAGTGTGATTTTTCTAAGCAGAAGGATGGTGTGGTATGAAACCTGGTGACCGGAAGCTCTGTGACATTAGTGTTGATGTCCGTAGAGGTATGGTGCCTACTTCTGACAACTGTTAACTGCAGAGAGTGATCACGGTGTTTTCAAGTGATTAGCAGAGTCTTGGCTTACAGATTTGGATAAACTGGCAGCTCAACTTTATGTTGAATTAGCTTGATAAAAAAAATGAGCTATTAGGACCTGTGTTTCGCATTTCCCAAAAGATACAGTATAGCTGCTTGGACCTCTTCTTACTTGAACATATGCTCCTTCACCAGCAGCATCCTCCTTTCTTTTCTACTCCAGAGTAGGAATTATTTTGGGATTGCCACTTCATTTCCTACTTCAGCCGTACAAACAGATATAGGAAGGTTGCTCTTGTGGCCTTACACACATCCCACCACTCCTTTCCAACAAGAAGAGAGCTGCTCCCCTCCCATTCTGCATGAAACTCTGATTCCCACAGTTTCCAAGGCAGAATTGCCAGTGGGTTCCAGGGTGTTTCAGTCTGTTTCTCTACAAGCTCTTCCCTGCCCCTGCCAGTGACACACACTGCGCTGAGCAGCCACACAAGAACCCAGGGCAGCCTGGTGTTACACCTACAAGGACTTCAAAGGAGACTGGTTGCATGAACAAACTCACATGAGTAGCAGGTTCTACCATTGGGCACTTCCCTCTGTTTTTGGTGTATATGCACATAGAATGACAGCTTTCTGTGGGCCATTTTAGAAGCATAAATTCAGCTCTTGCTTCCAATATGAGGTGTGTGGCTCATAGCTTAAGGTTCGCTTTCTGCGTGCATTTGTTTATGTCACATCTGAGACCAGTCTTACTGGATGGTAACATGCAGTGACAAATGCAGAAACAAAAGTACACGTTAGATACAGTATGTTCTCATTTACAGAAGCAAAGGTAAAAATGGGGAAGTAAGAGCAAAGTTAAAAAACCCCACATTTATTCAACATTATTGACTCTGTGTCTTACCTTCCTATGGGTCCCAGATCTCCAGAGTCCTGGCTGCCTGCATCACTGGGTGTGCTCACTGATTTCGAAGAGGGAGACATAGGGGTTGGGACTAAATAATGAAAATAACAGGTATCCCATGTTAACACATGCAGCGACTGCACTGATGAAGAGCAGTGTCAGATAAATCAAAACCAATGGACCAAAATGATAGTGAATAAATGATTAGGAGAGTTTGAAATGGTGAAAGCAAATAAGGAAGGAAAGAAAAAGAAAAGGAAGAGAGTCAAGTGAATTTTAAGTCTTTGGGAGGTGTTAAAACTGACATGAAATTAGACTGAACTGAAAGCCCAATGGGAATCTACAGCTAATCAATGGAGGAGTTATCTGTGGAAATAAAACAGCACTTGTTTTCCTGGGTATAGTTTAAAGTTGACTTGCAAAGGATTTTAAAGGTCTGAAGAAATATCAGGGGCTAGTCTTGTCAAAAAACTAAGTGAACTCTTCTGGTAAAGTCAAGTAGGCAATAGAAGAAGCACATTTTTTCAAATTTTGAATTTAAATCAAAAGCCAGTGCCCATTAGATATGGTCTAAGGCTGCAGTGTGGAAATGACACAAAAAATAGAAGCTAAATAAGAAAATCCAGCTAAGTTAAAATCATTTCCCAAAGATGGTGAGAATACTCATTAGTTTGCTTAGCGATCATGTCTTCCTAAGTAATTTAGGTGGCATAAAGTTTCCATTTTGGTTGGGACATGATTTCAACACTCAAGAAAAAGTTTCCCTTGGTTCAGATACCATTTGTCCAAGTTCTAGAAACGATTTTCTCTTTGGCTTGCCTGGACTTCTGAAGCATGTTTCATGCAGAGGCAGTTTTGTTTCCTGAAACAGGAAAGGAAGTTCACAGCTCAAGGTCAGCCCAAGTTAAAGCTCTTCAGCATGGAAATAATAAACAAAAAGGAAAAATATCTTGATTTCTTTTAAAATGGTTTCTCAGAAATACTTAAAATGCAGAGATGGCTCCAGTCAATATTTAATGCAGGTATTCTTCAAAAGAGCCACACTGAATAAAACACAAAAAGGGGTTTTAATGCAAGAGCGAAGTTTCTCCATTTGGTTTAAATCATGTGCATTTCCATTTATAGATTTAATAGAGCAAAACTTTACACTCTTTTGTTATGCTCTATAATGTATAATGACAGACCTGTCAAGAAACTTGGATTTTCCATGTGGTCAAACATTTTATGCAGATTCTCACTAGAGACTGTCACAGAAATTACTGCAGCATGAAAAGTGAATTCATCTTCGTGACAGCCCTCTGGCAGGTTACAGGTATGTCCTGGCTATTCATGTATTCCATATTCACAGTGGGATCTGGGTATCATATGCATACATGAAGGCAGAATTAAAGCCTCCTTTGTATATTAATTGTAGTGTATATACAGGGAATGAAAGAGGACAAAATACTATCGTTTAGCTAAAATGTATCATATGTGAGTTTTCATGCTCTTCTGATAGTATCAAACACAAAATTATTAACTAAGATAATTGATTATTTACAACATGAAATATATCCTCATTTTTTGATAAATAAGAATATTTTAAATGCTAGAACATTAAAAATGTATTTGCTTTTATAAAACCACTATTTAATTTACGAAAAAGGACAGAAGGATGGATGGAAGGAAATTTCTCACTTTAGGGACACTCAATAAATGAGACAGAACTTAAGCAAGGTACCAATCTTCAGACACTATAAACTTTGCCACGTGTTTTTAAACTGAGGACTTGAGATTCTAGAGCTGAAACATCAAAACCAAAAAAGAGGTTGAGAACATGAAATCAGATCTAAAAATCTACAATAATTATTTGATGATAAGCGTTTTGCTATTTGTGATTTGTCTTTATTTCCCCTCTCTAGTTCTGTTTGATTTTGAAAGAAAATCAATGGGAATTCCCACATGACTACGCTCCTCCTTCCTTAGCAAATGCTTAATCTGAATTTTTGAAGCAAAACTTGGGGCTAATGAAGTACAGCATTTATAATATTATTTCCTGGGTCATCAGACAGATGTGAGAGAAGATAAAACAGTCCATCAGAAAAGAAATCACTGCTGGTATGCAAAACCAACCTGCATTACCTTCACAAAAATTTCTTGAAGGAGTGAAATAGATGTTTTTGGCAATGATAAATACTCAAAATGCCATGAGCTGGTATATGTGAATGGTATGGCAGGCATTCAAACAGAAGAGTTCACTTCACTAATACAGCCAAAAATCAAAAAAGCCAAACATGCTTTAACAGAACGCATTCACTGTGGCAGAGTTGAATGCTTTACAGTGGCTTCTCTTAAATACCTAGAGGTGGTTCTGGGGATATACCAATGCTCTGTAACAAAGCTTCTGTCTCTCTTCTTTTGCGGTCTAGGTCAGAATCTTCCTGAGCTGGCTCCTTCTTTTGCTGCAGATCAGCCTGAATTAAAACACAAAAAATAAAAAAGTTTCATCTACATATAAACAGCTCTAGCAATAAGTGTGTGGAAAATATTTATATGCACCATGGCTTAAGTACACTTTGAAATGGACTTAGATATGTTTAGATAATTTATAACTTAGATAGTTCATAATGTATAGATCAGTAACAATATTTTTTCCCTGAATGCATGGGAACTGATCTTTGCAAGGATATTTGCAAGGATTTTTACAGCACACCAATGGACATCTTCCTCTCACTCATCAGATGCAACTTATACAGCTAATATAAAAACTGACCATAGAATAACAGATATCACCCTGAATAAAAGCAGTCCCTTCCTATTTACTCAAGGATCAAGAAATAAAATTCCACTGGACTTCAGTGATGTAGCTTAAGGGTCTATATTTGGTCCCAAGCACTTGTCAGCAATAGAAATAGTTTCTCATAAATGTCAATATTTAACAGGAGCAAAGGAAAGGACTAATGTGTCTAAAATAGGATTTTGGCAGCCCTGGGCACTAACAGTCAAAACTAATTGTCCACAAGACCCCTCCCTCTTTCCTTAGATATCTATCTACTTGAAGATTTCACACATTAGCCCCCTCCCCTCTGGTCTACTGGGACCTAGAAACAGGAGGAAAAACTTCTGCATTAGCCATGATCCCTTACATTGGCTCATCATTCTCCAATTCAGTAAGGTGGAAGGAAAACACCAATACCCCAGCCTGCTGGTTAGAGCCCTCCCTTCAAAGAAACAGGCTTGCAGCCCTTCTCCCAGTCAGATGGGGGAACTGAACCCATGTCCCACTTCATAGTCTACTGTAGTAACCAATAAGGCAAGTAAAACAAAATGCAAGTGGTCATGCCTGTCATGTTGTCCTGTCTTAAATACAGCAATCCCAGCATAGTTCTCATAGAGAACATCTGGCGGCATCTGCCTCTATACTATACTGGATCCTAAGGTTGCTTCTAAATCGGCTGCTCCTATCTAGCCTCCACACAGAGAGCTTTTCCTTTGCCAAAACCACAGTGTGGGGCACGGGGAACTCGCACAGTGTCTCAGCCTGGTCTTGCTGTTGGTGCAGGCACAACTGAAAATGAAGTTCGGAAGCAGCCCCATGTTCTCCAGTTTGGATACGGGCAGGATGCAGGAGAACATTGCCTTTACAGACAAAGTTCAGGCATCTTCCTGTGCTCAGCTCTTCCCATGAGCTAGCCTGAAGTATCTCACGGTAGTTAGGGTTGTAGACAACTCTTCCACACCAGTGTACGTGGCTAAGCACCTAAGTGAATGTTAGATTTTGCTCCTGAGGAGCATCACAGCGCACCCTGTTTACGGCATCACAGTTAGGCACCGCAGCATAATCTGTCGAGCTGGGTGTCCAGAGTGGGATCTGGCTATCGGGGCCAATGGAAAGTTCCAACCACCACAAGATCTCCACAAGGCACAAAATTAGAGGCAGGGGACAAAGAAAAGAACTTAATAGCTTCCTCAAGCCATTAGCTTGGCTCCCTTCTCTCTAATTCATTAGCAGGCTAGTAATGAACCCTGAAAATCTTAACATTTAAAGTGCTTACAGAGGACTCCCCCAGTGACTCTAGGAGCCTCACTGGGGGGTGTGCTGGTAATTGCACAAAAACAGCTCAAATGAAAAAAGATTTAAAAGACAGCCAAAACTGGAACACTGATTTCTTGGATCACATCACATTTCCACTGTAATTCCATGAAATTCATGTACAATATTAAAGTGTCCATTTAAAAGGAAACCGGTTATTAGTAAAGGATAACAGGTGCTTTAAACTATGGTGTTGACATTTGAAGGAAAAGAAACATATTCACTTAATGCTTCTCTGACTTTGCATGAAAATGAAGATCCACTCCCTGTCAATTCTCACCTCTATTCCACTAAGTGACTGAATAAAAAGAAACACAAATCCCTTAATGAAAAATCTAATGCATATTGTCAAGGACAGATAAACTAATACGTCAATCAAAATCTAACAGAACTGAAAGATGCACCCATGCCAGAAGATGAAAATGCAATTGCGATTATGTTTTACTTTACTGGAGAATAATAATTGTAAACCTGTTACCTTAGCTGGTAATCAAACTAGACTTCAGAGTCCAAAAATACATATTTAGATTGTAATGGCTTGAAAAAAATGTGAGCACTCTTTCTGTCTTTCCCCACTCTCTACTCCCTTTCCATCGAAGGAGAGGCCAGGAAAAAGCATTGTGGCAAATCGATTTTTCCTTCTACACACACACATACACATCATGTTGTCTTAACTGCTGCATCTGACAGTGTATTGGTTTTAAAAGCACTTCTCTCACCCCAACTTTCTTGACTAAAAATAACATTTTGATTTTAAGGTTAGGCTGATGTGGGTTTGAGGATCTCATTCACATGACAGATATCTTGGGGTATACAACACTGAGATGTCAAAACTCAGCAAGGCCCTTCTGCAAGCATGAGCTATCTAAAATGTGCTTTTGCATATTTACCTCTTTCTTCTTCCTTTCTTCCTCCTTCCGTTTCTTTTCTTCTCTTATCTGAGCCAAACGCTGCTTTTTGCGCTCAAGTTCTGCTTTTAAATCACTTTTGTCTGACATTTTGACTCCGCTGGAAAGAAAATTATGGAAACCAAGGTGAAAATGGAATTAAATGTTTTCCCTTTTTACTGAAAAAATATATTTAATTATATAAAAAATATTGCTTCTAAAATTGCTACCAATATTTTTCTATGTAAAACTGGCTCTTGGACTACAGTGACATTGTTGAAAGCAGGACATTTGTTTTGCAATTTTTATTTCAAGACATTAGATCAGAATATCACCAAACATGGAATATATTTTCAAATTATCTTTATTAGAAAGCTGCCTTTGTGAAGCAAACCCATTTTTGTCTGCTGTTCACAATAATGCATCAATGACTCCACACACTGAAGCTGAAGTCTTTTGATTTTCATTGGTTTCAGCAGCTCTGCCAGACTGCAGGATCCAGACCCACAAATGGATTTCAGTTCTAAGTACAAGAACAAGATCTGCCCCGAACAGCCCCATACCTCTGAGACAAGTAACAATTTCACTCCCAAAAACTGGAAACAGAATAGCTTTTGCTTCTGCAGGTGCCTTGAACAGCTGCTGTCCCAGGATCCCCCCCGTTCCACTGGTACAGCCCCGTGCAGTCCAACAGCTCCACCTCGGTATCCTTCACATATTTACCCCTCTGGGGAGGACCCTCATCAAGCTACAGGCTATCCTGCACAGGAATCTCCTCCACCATTTCCAGGGACAGCCGCACCATTCCCCCGAAAAGCTGCAGACAAGGCACAAAACCAGGCAACCCAGCAAACCCGAGCTTCTCTTTTAACAAAGTGGCACATTGCTCTGCTGACAGGCTTGCATTCAGATCATCTTTCTAAGAGGCAGGAGATGCATCTGATATTCCTGATTTGACTCCAATCACACAAACTTCGCAAAAGCATTTTTTCTGAGCTACTGAAAGATGCCCCCCTGCCATTTAGTCTTAAACACAATTCTCTGTAGGGCAGTGATGTGAGGCCACGTACACTCTCAGCGCTTTGAAACTCTGTCAACCTATGCTGCTGTTACGTGAGCCTTGAAAATCAAGGGTAGAGATATATGATATCAACCTTTTCCTACAGTTTTAAAACCCCACCAGTGTTGCACAAATCTATAACTTAAGTCATGGATAATTTATTCATTTTCTAACATCATCACCATTATGGGCTGTCATCTAACTGTATCAATACTCATTTTCTTATTAGCATTTTAGTTCAAAGACAGTCCAGACTAATACAGACATTTATGAAAAGAGTTAACTGTGCCTTTCCTATTTATTCACACATCACTGACCACATCCACCACTGCAACTCAGAATCAATCAGATCAATGGCAATGCCACAATGGAAGTTTATTGTTTGCTTGGTGCATGGTAAATTTAAACTCTCCACTAATACTAATGAGAACTCCGCCCACAATACTGCCTGGGTGGGTGGCTGATCGGGGAGTAAATTTATGTGCTAAAAATTGTACCGCATTTTCATCCATCATTAATTCCTCTGCAGTCATCAGCTTCCTCCTCAAAATTATAAAGGCATATTTAGTCCGTGATATGGAGGATATTGCCAACAAAACATCACCTGCACATTTATGTGCATTTATGCAACCTTGGCCCCAAATGCTTTGTTGTCTTTGCAAGCACTTTCCCTTATTGAAAGAGAAGAATAATATGTGAAATCAGAAGACAAAACCATTCAATTAAAATGTCAGCATAAAAGCAGCATGAGGGATGCCAGAGGGGCCAGCATAGCTGTTCCTGTGTGTGGACCACCCCACAGATGCTAACACTTGCCAGTCAAACTCCCAGCAGGAGTTACATCAGTCCAGCTCACACTGTCACAGATTCTGCGCTTATTTCAGCAGAGCTGCCCATCCTGGCAAGGTACACTACAGCCTTTTCAAGGCCTGAGGACTCCCAGTTCCATCTGCAACAACTCACAGTAGATGGCATAGCTAGGAAGAACATTCAACTTTAACAAACTGGACCACCAGGTGCACTGGCTGTATGCAGAGGATTATCATTTCTCTATTCCTCAACCACTCTGATCCTACTCATGATTATATTGTTTTCAATTTCAGAAAGAGAAATGAACACTGTCAAAAACCCTGTAATTTATGTCAATAAAACTAAACAGTAGCACCTCAAACAACATTAATCTGTGTGATCAGTTGACGTCAGCAAGCTATTTTTTTACATGAGAAATGCCTGGAGAAGAAAACGATCTTTTTAATGGCAGTGTAGGTAGTATTTTGCCTACCAATCTGCTCAGGATTTATGGGTCTCTCTCAGATAAGGCTGAAATCCCATCTGAAGTCATTTTCCTAATCTGTTGCACACATTTGAATTCTGATTATGAAGCTGCCCCTCAGAGCCCTTCGGACTAGATAGAGTTTTTGCATCCTTTTAGTTCTGCAGTTTGGCAACAGAGAGCGAGCTCCTGTTTCTATGCAGAAAATATGCAAATGCGTTTTAAGGCTCATGACAGAAACCCTGAGGGTTTGGCATCCCTTTCAAGCTGTTTGTCAGATATCAATGAAGGGCTTTCTAAAAATTCATTTCCTTAATATCAGGGAAACTAACTAGCATTTTCACTGATATGAGCATCAATGGTTTAGCGCCTGGCCCCTTCTTTACAATGCTCCAGTCAGGGTGATCAAATCCTATTATAATTTTGCCCTATTTTTAACAAAACTGATCTTACATACAACAAAGATGATATATTAAATTTCCTTCAAAGAATGTTGCCAGAGCCAAGTTATAGAAAGAAATTAATCTCAAATTCCTTTCATCCTGCATATATTATAGTCATGCCTTAGCCCCTCAAACAGCTTACCAACCTTCGGACTGGCTGTCTACAGCTTTAGCACAAATTGGACACCAAGGGTACGTAACCGCCTTTCTCAGTTGTCAGCAAGTCAGCAGTGAGCAATGAGGTAAGTGTACTCATCACTCTACTTGGCATTAACCATGGAGTTAACACTCTGTATTCATTACTGGGAACAAATTTCTTATAATTGCCATTCTGAGTTCCAAAAGGCATGTTGCATCAAGAGAGTTGAAGGCAAAGAGTAAAAAATATTTACTTTTAACATTCTTTGTGGTGCAGAGTGACATCCCAAGGCTTATGTATGACCTAAGCTTTTCCAGCCCGGGAGAAGGCGCTGGTCAGAGGGAAACGTAAAGTGCACATTTTGTAGTGAAGCAATTAAATCACCTATCCGGGAGAAGTAACACATAGGAATAAACACACTGAACATTGTATTAAATGTAGAAATAGTTCTTATAGCAGGGCAGCAGCCTAGCACTCCCGTCTTCAAGAGAGGTCTGTAATCTTAGATCAATTTTTATTTTGTTTGGCCCAGTTTACTGTCAAGTGACACAGTTTTAAAAGGAGAGAGTCCTCCCCACTCCAGAAGAGCTTACCACCCATGTGTTAACATAGGTTCTTGAGATGTCGCAGAATACACGGCTGTGAAACACCTTGCACCGAGAGCCCTCACCTGTACTCCTCATACTCTGAGGAAATTCTCCTTTCTTTGAGCTAGAGGAAAGGAGTTTGTTCCTCTTGGCATGACTTTTAATGAAATGAACTGCTGTATTTCGAGATGTCAGTTTTCCCCATATGCATTAAATATGCCTCAGAGTCCCCTCTTAGACTTAGAAACACAGTGAATTCCACTTACACATCAAAGGGTCACTAGACCTGCCAGGATGGCAGCCACCCAGGCACGTGCAAATGCTGTGCTGAGTACTGCATTCTGGGACTTCACCATCTACTGGGCTCATCTCACTATACCTAGATGCCCATAATGTAGCCACAGAGCTCTCCTTACCATCAATGCAAGTAAAATCAAAAGAATCTGGGTATCCTAGGATGTGACACCACTTTTCCTAAAGCAGCTGTCTAAAAGCAGTTACGTGTGCCCCAAAGCCACCAGTTCCTCTCCAGTGATGATAAAGGGCCCTGGGTGATCAGGTAAGTTCTCGAAATCTCCATTGCCTCAGACTGGGTGAGAAGAATCCCATCCTTAATGCAGTCCCAGCAGTTCCTTTTAGTTTGTCCACGTATGAAACAAGATCTTTGAAAGATCTTTTACATTCATCTTAAAATAATAATGGTATTTGCTCAAAGTTCTCTGCTGTACAGAACATACACAAAATTACTCCACTAAGCTTGTCCCACAGGTAGTAACATCTCACAACCATTTCATTAGCAGCAGTGGTAAGTACATAAGCATGGAAGACACAAACAACAGCGTTTTACCCTTGACTGGACTAAAAGCCATGCAAGTACTTTTACAGGTAGAAGCCAATAGACTTACTACAGTTTTATAATAAGCTACAAGGTCATTATCAATTATTAATATCACATTATTTGAGGAGATTTTTTTTTTTGAACCATTTATATGAGCACTTAACAGCAGGAACAGTCACAGGCATCTAAAAAGGTTTATTACAATTGCAGAACTAATAAATTGATACTTGTCAGAGTAGTAAAACCACGGAGTTACAGAGGTACAAAGAGTGGCAACATATGCATGCAGCTTGGACTAAAGAAAGAAAGAAGGAAGGAAGGAAGGAAGGGATGGAGGAAGGGAGGAAAGGAGGAAAGAAGGAAAGAAAAAATAAGCATGAAGTGCCCAAAGTATAATGCATAAAATAAAAACAAAGACACATAAAATTATGACAGTGCACACTTTTTATAAGCAGAAAAATAAAAAAAGACATAACATCTCCCTCCTCTTAAAGCCTGTTCTTTATATTTCCTAGAATAGCATCTTGTCTGTATGCTGTCACCAAGCTCATCTAAAAAGAAATTCAGGTTTCCAAATCTGGCATGAGATAAAAAAGGCTACAGATTTTATGGCTTTTTGGTGTTTGGGGGATTTTTACAGGCTGTTCATTCAGCTCTAGAGTAAAACTATACTCACCACTTCATGAGCCTCAAAGTCTTTCCTGTTTTGACTTCCTGTGTTGTCCTTTTCATTATTATCTCCATTGCAATTACAAAGGGGTTCATTAAATA